GATTCAGCATAGCGAATAAGCCTGGGTAAGCACAAAATCTCAAAATCGACGTTTTGCCCGGACACTGCCTTTGATCTAGTTGTAACGGTTGGCAAAGTAGCAGCCCAAACTTCTTCATTTTCTTAGTAGTTTTCCTGTTCCTATTTTCCTATTTCTGAATATCCATCAAAATTGTACCTGATTTAGGCTGATGTGAGCATGGATGGTGCATTGGCTGAACCACGTGCTGTCCATCAATGTAACATCTGCAACAAGATATTTGTATCCTTCAAAGGTAAGCAAATTTTCAAAAAATAGGATATTTTACTGACGCAATAATGCTATATTTGTAGGTCTCCAACAACATGCCGTGATCCATACCGATCAAAAACCGTATCAGTGCGATATCTGCGGGAAGTCGTTTCGATTCAAATCGAATCTTTTCGAACATCGTTCAGTGCACACGGGTTTCACGCCTCATTCATGCCCATACTGTGGAAAAACGTGCAGGTAGGTTCACTATCTCCGATCGGCCATACATACATGCGTCATACTGCTTTTATAGTAGACAAATGGCCTCATTGATGGCAATATTGTGACTTAGAATCTTATTAACGTAATTTTTGCTGAAGATACTGCATCTCCCAATCCTCACTAGCTGCCCTCACATACAGAATATGAGCAGTACGTGTCAACTTATACTTCGCGCTACGCTTAGTTCATTGCGTCGCGGATGGATAACAGTACAGCACATTTGACCGTAACCTTTGATATCACCAACCGTATTATTGAATTTGCCCGCGGAATTCGCAATATAGATTCAAAATGAATGGACAATATTTCGCCTCAAATTCTTCTAAAAATTCATTTTCGGGAATTTTGATCGTTGATCTTGCACTATGAGGCTTATTGTTGTAGTATGGTAGGTCATATGATGTTAGATCCACCATAAACGGGGTTATCTGTCATTTATATCGGGGCCTGCACATGGGTAGTAATCTTAGAGCCCTAACTATGACACTGCTCAAGACACCGCCCTTCCCTTTGGCGCGACAGCATGCGACAACGATGCAAGTCGTCCGTTAATACGATCCTTGGGTCCACTTTGGGGGAGAGCATCTCAGCCTGAGCGAAGCACTCGCTTGGGAGATGTCTTTTAGG